TATGTGTATATATATGTATATATATATATATATATATATATATATATATATATATATATATATATATATATACGTGTGTGTGTGTCATGTGTGTGTATACGCGCGTGTATCTGTTGTACGTGTGTGTGGTTGTGTGCGCGCGCGCGAGTGTATGTGTGTGTGTTGCTGTAAAAATTTAGTAAAATTCACCGTGGACTGGCTTGACCTCTGCAGTTAATAAATCACCAAACATTTAAAAAAAAAGGAAGAAATGGTTGGACCTGAATGTTACTTAGAAAAGAAACCAGCACACACTAAAGAATAATGGTTAGTCTCACCTTTCGCCCCAGAATGTCACACATAAACCCAGCCAGCAAAGAGAAGATGGCAGCGGCTCCAACTGTGGCGCTCACAATAAGCTCCTGCCAGATGGTACTGAGATCGAAGTAATCTTTGATCAAAAGCATTGACCCGGATACGATTCCTGGAAAAATTCAAATGAAATCAAAGCATTGTTTCTTATTCTTCTTATGACAACATCTACTTTGTGCTAGTAGGCGTCACAACGGGTGAGTTAGGGCATGCTTGGTCATGTTAAGCTGTCGGTGGCTCGTTCAGTCCATTAATATCTAGGTCTACATCTACGTGCTGGTTTTTCCGTGTTCATGTTGTGCGCTTTGGCTCCCAATATCGATGGATTCATTCTTAGGTTGCCGAACTATTTTAAGTCTTTCTTTGTCATTTAATTTAACAGTGGGTTTTGTTCCAATATCGGCGTTTGTAACTTAGGTCTTGCGAACGGGCTTTGTACTTCCGAGTTGCCGGTTTCAATCACATCTTTCAGCGATTTGACAGCAGACTGCCTTGCGTTGGTTTCAATAGGAGCATCGAGAGTTGAACGTTCAAGAGCAATGGCAAACCACCGATCGTAAAATTGCTGAGTTAAAAAACAAATAGCCAAAATAATTCCTAGGCTGGTTCTACAACACCATAGAAAGTACAGGCGACTATTTTATTTTTCTTCCAATAGTCCATCCTATCTCCTAACTCGCTTTGTACCTAAAACGGTTAGTTGCCTGTCCTTTTCATGGCATCACAAACTAATCTCAAGATTGTTTGTCTTTCTGGTTTCACTTGAAAATTCTTCTTCTTCTTCTTCTTCTTCTTCTTCTTCTTCTTCTTCTTCTTCTTCTTCTTCTTCTTCTTCTTCTTCTTCTTCTTCTTCTTTTTTTCTTCTTCTTATTCTTCTTCTTCTTCTTCTTCTTCTTCTTCTTCTTCTTCTTCTTCTTCTTCTTCTTCTTCTTCTTCTTCTTCTTCTTCTTCTTCTTCTTCTTCTTCTTCTTTCTTCTTCTTCTTCTTCTGCTTCTTCATCTTCTTTTTCTTCTTTTCTTCTTCTTCTTCTTCTTCTTCTTCTTCTTCTTTTTCTTCTTCTTCTTCTTCTTCTTCTTCTTCTTCTTCTTCTTCTTCTTCTTCTTCTTCTACTTCTTCTTCTTCTTCTAATTCTAATTTTTCTTCTACTTCTGCTTCATCGTCTTCTTCTTCTTTTTTTCTTCTTCTTCTTCTCTTCCACCATTTACCTCATCAAGGTGTTGGGGGGGGGGAGGGGGGAGGAGGGGATGTAAGGATCTTTGTGCGCTTTTTTCAATGCATTGTACAAGTTGGTATTCGTTTCCGTTGGGTTTCTCCTGATTATGTCGCCCCATCTCTTGTGTAGTCTTCCTCTTGATCTGTGTTCGTTATATTTCTTCAGCGTGGCTCTCTGTGGCAGTTGGTACCAGGGCATTCTCATCAAGTGGCCAAATCATCTCACTTGTTGTTCTTTAATGAATTGTATGACTTGTTTCAGTCCTAGTCTTCTTCTAATTTCTTCATTCTTGATTTTATCTCTTCTTGTCACACCGGCAACTCTCCTAAGACATCTCATCTCCGTTACGATCTTCCGTTCATTCGTTGTAGTAATAGTCCATATATGGCACTGTTAGCACAATATAGCTAAAACAAAAAACTATTCTTAATGAGATTTGCTTTGGTTGACAAGAGGTCTCTATGCATCAGAGGCGGTGTTAATTGTCCCATAACCTGATTTGCTTTCGCACATTGTATGTTGATTTCTCTATCTGTTCTTCGATCTAAGGTGACGTTTTATGTTCAGCAATTTGCCATTGCTTTCTGGATAGTTCCACGCTAGCACTATTGTCGAAATCAAACTGTTGCAGCTGACTTAGAACCCCAGTAGTTGGGAAATAGTGATTTTTACCCCTGTCATGTCGGAATTATTGTTCTAACCCCAGTACGTGGAAATTATGATTTTAACCTTAGTGCGTCGGAAATGTCGGCGTCTGTGGCTCGGCTATTGGAACGCGCTTCGTAATGCCGTGGTCTCGGGTTTGATCCCAGCTGCAGGCGATTTGGCATCAGACCGTCTTGCGTTGTTTTCAATAGTGGTGCTTAAAGGCAATTATTTAGAAAGCCATGGCAAACTACTGAACGTAAAATTTGCCTAGAAAAACCACAACAGCGTAAAATGCTTGTTGGTGCTGCAACGTCCTGTAAAGGAAACGTTTGAATCATTATCTATTAAAAAAATGAGTGTAACCCTGGTTGTAGGAGTATGGTTTTACTCCTGGTATTTCGGAATCATGATTTAAACCTTAGTATTTTGCATCATGGTTTTAACATTATTATGTCGGAATCATGATTTTAACCCTGGTATGTCGCATTATGGTTTTAACGATGATATTTCGGAATCATGATTTTAACCCTGGTATGTCAAAATTATGATTTTGTGATTGGATTTTATGCCGGAATAGATTGAAACCTGGTAGGTTTGAATTAGAATTATAACCAAAGCATGAGAGATTTATGATTTATGACGTGTGACGTATGCAAGATTCATGAACTCACCTAATCAAGTACAACGCAGCCATACTTTAATTTGCTGATAGGAATCTGTCCGCCTATGTCGCCGTCCACACGCAACTCCGTAGCTACAGCGACTTTCCTCCATTTACCCCAGAGTGTTAACTCAAGTGTTAACTCTGGTACCTATTACCTAGAGGTTGGGTGAACCCCGGGAACCGCCCATTTCGAACACCGGCTGTGTGCAGATGAATTTGAAAGCGAGTCTCCTATCGACTGCGCTAACGCGGTCCCTAATCTGTCAACCAAATCATGACCAATAATGTGCCCCAGTGCTTCAGCAACCCCAGGTGTCATTCATTCCTTGCATTACCTTTCTTTAGCACGTAACAGCTTACTCCGTTCTTCTCAACGACAAGGAAAACATGCTGCGGACATTAAAGGTCAGTTCATTTTATTAGGGATCCTCTCCACTCTCGAAGTAAGGGTTTGAGTATGCAGCTGCTCGTACTATCAACTTCTTTTTCTTATCCTTCTTCTTCTTCGCATTCACTGTCTGTAAACTCCGGCGCAATATTGTTTACCCATTTCATATTCGTATGCAGACTATTGGTTCCTGGCTTCTCATGCAGATGCACTCCGATTTCAAAGAAAGCCCCCAATTAGTCGACCAATAACTACATATTTGTTGAGGAGACAGTGGGGCACCAGAACTCACACACAGAGGTCACAGTATAAGGCAAACGAGGACAGTTTCGGTCTCTAGCTAGCACCTCTAAACTAACAGCTTGTAAGTTGCTGTGAGTGTAGTGATGTCAGAGCATCACACCACATAATGACATGGCACAAGTTAAACATCATCATCATCTTCTTCTTCTTCTTCTTCTTCTTCTTCTTGTTCTTCTTTTTCAATCCTTCTGTCAGCAAACTTATATCAGCTGGCCGGTAGCCTTTATATAAGCTATCGTGCAATTCATATCTCCACGTGTACCATAAAGCTATGTCTTCATTGTGGTTGGAAACGGCCAGATTGCATCTCCGTTGGAGACATATAGCTGATAGTGTTGCTCAGCATTTTCTGGTGCCAAGCTGCGGGGACACGTCTCCGTGGTTAAATATAAGAGTCGTCCACGCTTTCATATCCATACATGATAGATTTATACACTTGATACTCTACCTGTATCATATCCAAACAGAAGACCTCCAATGGTAGCAAAGCAAGCCAGATAGTACACAAAGAAAGGGGTCTTCTCATCCTTATCCTGAATGGACACCGGTTTTTTAGAATTGGTGAAATGGGCGTGCTCCATGTTTGGTCCTGGGCTGTGCAACGGCTGACGATCGTCTTGTGTAATCTGGTCTGTTGTAGATCGGCTTAAGTCAGGACTAACAGGTCGAGGTCTTTGCAGCTGATTCTTGATATTTAGAGGGTGTCTTCTTGCAGTTCCAGTTGCAGCCGGAGCTGTACTTGTCGTTGAGTTGTCAGCAGATGTATCTGGTTTTGAATAATTTCCGTCAGATTGTGTCTGATTGTGGCTCTGGTTAGAAACTGGCTGAGAAACGCCAGTATAAGCGATCGGAGTGTCCTGAGCTGTGCGATGTTCGTCTTGCCCTTGATAAAGGTCACTTGTAGCTCCAAAAGGATGTGAATTTATAAGAAAATGTGGGGCGGGATTGGCATTGTCGCTTTGATTGGCGTATTTTGGTAGATGTACGGTTGAGTTTTCAGGAATGTCTGTGTCTTCAGTGGTGATGTTTATAGAGAGGTCTTGGGGGTAGTGGAAAGGTGTGTTTCCAAGTGAGGCAGCAGCAGTAGATGCAGGCCCTGACAGCGAAGGTTCTTGAGGTGGTTGTCCAGCAGCCGAATCTGTCAGTCCACTCCTTGACCGTATGAAATCTGAAATAACAATAATAAAAATATTTATTTGTATTTTTAAACCAACAACGATTGCTTTAAAGAAGCTAATGAAAGTAGATCTCTGTATACAACAATAAGAAAGAGACAAACACTGTTCATTGGCCACATAATGAGAAGAGAGACATTGGAGAACATCGTGACATACAGTTTATAAATTTTTCGCAAAATGCAGACAAGAAATTATTCTCCTCGCAATGGACACAATTTTAGACTTTCTCACAGTAGGGAGACTTGAGTTGAGACGTGTTTCTCGGAGTGGAGATACGAAATTAGATTTTTCCTTTTCCCCCAACCAGAATGGAGACTCTAATGTAGATAATTTCGTCATAGGTGGAAACGTAAAGTGCATGTAATCGATTTCAGCCGTCCTTTATTGCTAAAATTGCATAGGGTCGATCTGACTACCCAGTATCTTCAAGTTTATATTGACTTATGTTTGTATCCTGTTAGTTATGAATTAACATCTCAAAAGCTCTCTTATATTATTTTTTTTTATGTACCCGCAGGATCTTCTCTGTCACACATACACACTTTCTATGTTTCTCTTTCTCCAACCTTGTTTTCTTTCTGTGTCTGTTCTTTCTGTGTCTGTTCTTTCTGTGTCTGTTTCTTTGTCTTTCTCATATTCTCTCTCCCACCCTAACACGACTCGGTGTCTTTTACTACTAAACCATCTATCCATAAGCACATTGGAACTATAAACTGGGGCATTCTAATGTAATTGCTTGTTGTCAAAAGGTCTGTAGAGGGTTAAAAAGTATCTCTCTCTCTCTCTCTCTCTCTCTCTCTCTCTCTCTCTCTCTGCCTCTCTCTGTCTCTTTGTGTCTGTATGTGTGTGTTGGTGGGGGTATGGGTGTGTGTGGGTGGCTGTGTGTGTGAGGTGTGTGGGTGTGTCCAATTTCTTAAATTTGTTTCACTCCTTAGGACACTTAAAGCTACACATACTCCAATCACTTGAAGTCGACTAACAATGACATAACCTGAGATCGGTACAGAAAACATTACCCAGCAAGGCCTAACGTCAGCTAGTCCGTATATGCTGTGCTAAATTATGAGATGGTTACACCTCCAAGGAAACTGTATTGACGAGTACTCCTTCTCCTCTCCATGCTTAGAAACAAACAGGGTGTGCATCCCGCTACTGGCACTTCATATCTGCCAGAGAGCAGCAAGGGAGTTTTGGTCCCTTGAAGTCCCCACCCCATCCCCCCTTTTCCTCCAAGTCTTTACTAGGGCCAAGAAAGATCGTCACAGAAGATTTGCCAGAGAGCCTAGTGATCCTTTCAAACACGTATAAGTTTTTAAAAGGAGTAGAAAATTATAGGGAAGAGAAAAAGTTGGTAAGAAACAACAAATAGTTTATGTTAGCTTTACAAAATCGATCACAATAAACAAACAAAGGACGTTGCGGCGATTAGCCTTCATCAGCACATAAAGGACAACACAGTACACATACACAAATATGCTCTAACTATGAAGTGACTACTTAGGACTCTAATGTATAAAATAAATGATACTCATCAGTGTCCCTGGCCAAAAAAACTTCGTACAATAAAATGACTAGGTCAGCTACTAGCCTATATATCTCCAGTGCTAGAGGTTCCAGGTTCAATCCCCGGAAGGGCTGGGATTTTTTTCACGTAGACTTGGACTTCCAGTAATTCCCCCCTGGTCTCTGGGTAGTGAGGTCAGACGCAAGTGTGCATTGTTGTGCACGTAAAATATCCCTTGGCAGTTGGAAATCGAAAAGAGTAGCCTAATGGCGCTGCCCGGGCAAAATTTAGAGTTAAAATTTTGCCTAAATTTGCCCTCGCTACAGAGCCTGTGCACTGTGCTAAGCTTCTTCAGACTCAGCGCTGAGTTAGAAGAAGGGCGGAGCACTTATGGGTTACTACCCGTGTGCCATGACAAAACCTAAAAAAAAAACTAAAAACCTCAAAAACCATTTAAGACGTTCTCTTAGGAAGTATTTGTGTAAGCATTCTATTTTAGGCAAATTTATTATTATATGCTTGCCATTCAACAGTTAAAAATATTTGATATTATTACTGAGCACTTAAAGAAGGTTTAAACCGCCTGAGCCTCCCCCTCATGTACAAATTACAAAGGGACAGAGTCGCACTCGCATGTATCCTTGATGTTAGTGCCCCTAGTCGGCAAGCATATCAGGTGGTCATTAGATCATCATTTAACACAGCCTCTATAGACTGGTTCATTACCCACCCAGTGACGATTGGTCTGAAAAAATGGGTGCTCTTCCCATATGCCCGATACGCCTAAAAGACGTGTTTAAAACTGCCGGCATGTAGCTTCTAATCCTGGTAAGTCGGAATTATAAGATTGATTTTAACTGTGAGATACCACAAAAAAAAAATTTTTTTTAACACAAGGAAATCTATCATTCATCTACAGATCCATATGGTATTCCAGCAGAGGTTATAAGGGCCAATGTGAACAGATCTAGGGAATTTCCTCACAAATTATTCAGTAAAGATTGAAGCCTGAAGAAATACCAGCAGATTGGAGAGAAGAATATCTTGTGAAACTGCTCCCAGAAACGTGATCTCCTTGAGTGTCAAATTTATAGCGGAATTGTGTCGCTGTTAGGGAAAATATTATTATTAAGACTGAAAGATGCTACTGAAAAACAGGTAGGAGATGACGGGCAGGTTTTTGGCTAGACAGATCCTGTACTCACCATCTATCCACACTGAGCATACTAATACAATAATACAGCAAAGTGTCGAATCTAAATTACTTTAAGTATCCAGAAACCATGAGCTGTAAACCCTTTGGCTCGGTATTGTGGATATCGCAACCCTTCGGCCTTGATTCCATGATAGGTACCGTAAATCTTGGAGATATGTGGCTTTTCTGTCTACCCCCGGGCCTGAACCCGGACCACAGGGAGTTTGTTACCTGATCACCACGAAGTCGGGTTTAACCAACTAGGTTAGCGAGCGGTGCATATATTGCCTTCACACACTATCAAAAAGCTTTTGACAGAATTGATAGGCAATCTCTCTGTCAGCTGATGGGGCACTATTGATTCTCAAAGAAAATTATTAACTTAGTAAAAACAACATATAAAGACACGAAATTACAAATTCCTAATAAAGGAAAACACAAATACATTTGAAATATGAACAGCTGAGCGAAAGGGATGTCTTGTATTAGTTAGTTAGTTAGTCTTTCCTCTTGTGTCGAGTGCGGCACATAGGGCAGAGGTCATGACTCTCCATGCATGGCGGTTCGTTGCAATCTGTTGTAGGTCTTGGATTTTTGAGTGGCCAATGAGCGAGCCTTCCCTGATGATAGTTCTACGTAGGGTTTCCCTTGGTCTTCCACGAGATCTTTTCCCCTGTGGGGTCCAAATGAGGGCTTGGTAAGGAAGTCTTGATTTATCCATTCTAAGGGCGTGGCCGACATAGTTCCAGCGGCGTTTTCGTATAAAATTAGACACATACTCTTGCCTGGATTCTTGCCTTATTTGTGTATTGGTTCGGAAATCTGACCATTTGAAATTTAGTATTCTTCTAAGGCATTTATTTTCAATACTGTCTAATTTTGTGTCTAGAGTTTTCGTTGATTTCCAGCTCTCGCATCCACAGGTTAGTACTGGAATCACACAAGAATTGAAGATCTTGAGTTTTGTGTGTTTGCTAAGTGTCTTTGATTTCCAGATGTTGGACAGTTTATTGAAGGCACTAGATGCCAGTGCTATTCTAAATGGTATTTCTGGTGCGGTATCTCCTGTAGATGACATCTTGCTCCCTAGATAAGTGAAACTGTTGACTTTTTCAAAGCTGTTGTTGTTCAGCGTGATATCAACTGAACTGTTGGTAAGGTCTAGAATTTTTGTTTTTGCGGTGTTAATTTGGAGTCCAATTTGTTCTGAGAAATTCTGGAGTCGATTGATTTTTTCTTGGGCGTCTGTGTGTTCTGAACTCAGGAGTGCTATGTCGTCGGCGAAGTCTAGGTCTTCCAGAATTTTGTCAACCCATGTAATGCCTAAATTTGCGTTATTTATGCACTTGCGCATGACCCAGTCGATTGCTATACCAAAAAGCATCGGCGATAGGACACAGCCTTGCTTCATTCCTGTTTCCACCGGGAACCAGTCAGAATTGCCGGAATCAGTTCTTACACAGCGTCGTGTTTCATTATAAAAAGATTTTATAATGTTGATATATTTGATGGGGAAACCATAGATGTTAAGCAATTTCCAGAGTGTTGGACGATGGATACTGTCGAAGGCTTTTTGGAAGTCGACAAAGTTGATCAATAATTTCGACTGGAATTCTGTAAAATCTTCTTTCTCCTGGCAGTAGGAAAACTGCTAACATCAGGAATGGAATTTAGTGGGCCCCTATAAAGCGGCTTTATGATCTT